TAAGAAAGCTGTGTCTGAATTATACCAGGGTCTTCTGTGGGACTCAGAGCGTACTGTCGGGCAACAGCAAGTCAGTAGTTTGGTTTCCCCTTTGTAGGAAGATTTGGGTAAAAAATCCCAACTATGAATATGATTGTCAGTTATTTTCTTGTGAAATTCAGTAAGAACATTAGGTACTTTTTGTTGGAAAACACTAACACAACCAGACAGATGACCCGAGATTTTACCTGTGAGTTAGTTCAGTGAAGAACAATCTTTAGAGCATCAGATCTTAAGGCAAAGATCTAGACTTTGAGACAGCAATCTCTGCTTGGTTTGGTGGGTGAAAAGAGGCTCCAGAGATCTTCAGGGGCCCTTCGCATCTCTCCTTATTGTTCTGGAGGAAGGAGGAGAAGAAACAGTGCACCATGGGAGTGATGCACCTGTCTGAGTAATGCTCCCAAGGGAGATGGTTCATTGCCAAAATGGTATGACTGGTGCAGCCAACTTAGGGGAAGAACAGAGTTCCACTGAGAGCATCAGTGATCAATTATTTATTGTCAAAAGAAAATAGAGAAGCTTGCCCACACTGTCAAGCTACAGCCTGTATTCCCTATGAGAAACCATTGCAGGAGTATGGACAGCTAGCACAGAAGGCTTGCAGAAGTCAAAATAACAGCATCTAGTCAAAATAACAGCATCTAGTAAAATAGTTACACAAAGGTTTGAAAAACAGATGTGGAAGGGGCACCTTGATCTTTGGCCTAGGGTTTCTACAACTGAAATTAATTATTTTGTGTTCCTTCCAAGTCTGCATCTTCTCTGCTTCCAGTGGTAGGAGAGCAGGAGGCAGCAGAAGCGCATCTGGTCAAAAGCGACACTGTGGATTGGGATTGTGAGTGGGAGAGACAGATATCATGTATTTAGCAGAGCACCTGCTGAAGTCTTCTCTGGTGTTACATGATGCTCATTTCCTAGTATCTGGCCACATGTAGATTCAGCTTGCCATGAGGAAGCATGAGAAGCCTGACTTGACTCCCCAGTGTTGCAAACCGTCACTGCTTGGCTCCTGATTACGCAGGACACCAGGTAACGCTTTGCTGACGAGATTTGCTGCACTTCAGGGAGTATCTGGTGTGGAACCTGCATTCAAAGCTTTGCACCCAGGACATCTTCCCTTTATCAGTCCTGAGTCTTTCCCATTAGGATTGCTGTGGTTTTGCTGTGTAATGCACATGAACAACAAAGGCTCATCTGTTTTCTTCACAACTGGATATCTGCCTGAATTGTTTCGGAGTGTTTGTATTGTATAGATCTCTTTTTTGCTCCTTCTTTCCCTTTAAACAGGTATTAGCTCTTCAATACTTGCAGTAGAAGAGAAGGGACTAACTGGAAAGACGTATTTTATGTACCTTATGTAAGCTAGAAAAATTTGCAAGGAATTTAGAGATAACTTACATCAGAATTGTAGTAATTGCCTTCCTAAATATTAGCATATAAAAGTATACCAGATTATGTTAGGGGGCCGGTTAGTTCAGTCAGTCGAGTGTAGTGCTAACAACGCTAAGGTCGCGAGTTTGATTCCCGTCCCCATGTGTTGCCTGATCTAGTCAAGAGGTGGCGTCCCTGGCAGCAGGGAGGCTGGATTAAAATGATCTCTAAGGTCCCTTCCAGCTTAGGCCATTCTATGATTCTATGATTCTGTGTTCATAGAGTAGAAGATAATCTATTGTAGTCATTAAGACCTCTGAGACTAACAGCAGCTAACTGCTAATAAAGTCTAAATCCGAGTGTGTAAAGGAACACACTGAAAGCCTGACAATGAGATGTCTTGAAAACTAGGTTCGAAAATTTCACCCACAGCACCTCCCCAGTAAGGCAAATATGTGATTCTCTTTCCTCCTTTTCCCCCATCCCCACCTGTTTCTGGTCGGAACTCTTCTGTGCCTTAGGCTATAGCAGTAGCTGAAAAGGTCGTGTTAATTTTCACCAGTGCCTGGATATGAGGTGGTCAGTAAGCGGAAGAAAAAATACTGTCTTTATTACTTGTGCTGTCAGATTAGATTCAGGAGGTGTCTGATCTTTCAGCTGTTGCATGATAGACCTTATAAATTGGTAGAAATCTGAAGAAGGAGTGAATAGGTCACTGAATGTAGTTTTAAAACCTGCTGTCATGTTGGATTTACCAAACTTGAAGACTTCTGATAATAAACAAGCTTATGATGATTTGATAACTGTTGCTGTCTTTCATAAGAAAAGCCTTTCCAGCAGTGGAATACATTTTCACAGCCCTTTGTAAATATTTAGTCTATTAATCTTCAGGATGATTTTAAATGCCACCTACTGGTACAATATAACTTATGGTGTTTTCTTTTCATTTACAGACATTATGGTAACAAGATAGGTCTCACAGTCAGTGTTGTGTTTTCCTCATTATCTCAGCTTTCTGAGATCTCATGGCTGGAACTTCATTACTCTGTCCGATCCTCTGAATCTTGATGCAGTTACTTACTTCTTGCTTTGCATACTTAGGTTTCCCAGCAAACAGTATTTCCCTGCCTTCTTGACAAATAAGTGTCCCTTGACCTTTAATTTATCTGACAAGGTGACACAATTTTAGGCATAAACAATACCTCCTTTGTGAGCCTGCACCCCACCGAGGTGCCTTCATGGGAGACCCTGTGTAGGCAGTCGTGTGAGCCTTCCCTCCAGGTGATCCCCACATACAGAAGGTTGTTTCATTTACATGCAGGTCCCCCAAGAGGAATTCTGACTCCTTCACCGGCAGCACTGCACGCTGGCCTGGCTGAATCGAACTCCTAAGTAGACACCTCCCGTGGCAGGGTGGGACCTGCGCGTGGAAGAGGACCGAGCTGTCAGGCTTGTGTTCCTGGTGGGCTTTTGGCACCCTCAGTGTGAGGTGGGGCTCAGTGAGGTTAGGTGCCTCCTTTAAAGTGTTACATGTAATTCTGGCTTGTTCTGCAGGGAGGTGTTTTCAAGAAGCTAGACCCCCAAATCTGTTGGAGATTGTACGATGTGTTCTGTGTTTCACTTCCCGAGAAGAGTAATCAGGAAAAAATATTAGAGAATTAATCAGAAGGGAAACTGCCATACAGCATGTGATGACTATGGCCATGGTATGGGAAATAAAAGGAAAAATGACTGTCTTCCTACAATTCAAGTTCCTTATCAAGGTGGATTAAATGTGGGCTAATAATGTATTTCTGGAAGAAAGCTATTTTGGGAAAAACAGAAAAAAGAAATGAATGTAATCTGAATGGTGAGGAAGAACAAAAGAAAAAACTATAAAAAGTTTGATTTGATGTTATTCCAAAGGAAACATTTTGATTTTCCACTTCTGAATCACATTTCAAGACCAAATTCAGTAGAAGGCAGGAGAAAATATTTATCTACTGTTTGAATAAAATATTATTTCAACCCCTTCTGACATGCTTTCCTTTTTTTCATTTGGCCGACCAAAATGAATTTCCCCCTTGTTTTATGCGTGTGATTTACTGGATGAACTGAGAAAATAATTATTTCTCATGTTCTTCCTCTCGCTGAGTTCCAGGCATAGGGCAGAATGCAGTATAGGGAAATGAACGATTTGGTGGAAAAAAAAGGAGAATTTTATCCTTAAGTGAAATAGCATTTATTTTGTGAGACTGACGGGGGATATAACAGTTTTGCTTCTATGAGTTTTCAGCTGGATTGTGGATGAGATTTAAATAATATGTTACTAAGCTTTAGGATGTAATAGCTTGTCTAAAAATAGGATTGGATTATTAAGATTAATGTAATCTTTGTAGCTTTTGTTATTATTTAGAATGCAAGACATTCAGTCTTTATTGCTAGAATTGATGATATTTTCATATCCATTTCCAAGAAAAAGAAATGTTAAAAGGATAATTCAAGCATCTGTTAAAATCCATCAGACAACATTTTAAAAGTGAATGCATCCAACCAGCTCCATAGGGCAAAGGATAAAACTTTTCAATTAGAATTGTACTATGAGGGAAATTTTCTGTCTCAATTATTCTGTGTGCTTCATTGAAACCTACATGAATTTCAGCTGGTTGGTTGTTCACGTTCAGCTCACTGCACACCCTAAGGACTGCATGACACATTTTATTTACGCTGATCATCAGCATCTCTTTTGCACACACTTGTTTTATGACAGTTCCAAAAGGGAATTATAATTGCTTACCCTTAAGCACGACAACAATATAGTGTGATTGAAAACAAAAATGTGGCATTTATTCATTGAATGATTTGTATTTGATAAAGGCTATTTTTTTCCTTTGGTGTTATTTTTTAGCTTCTATGAATTTCTTAAGCCCTAGACAGAGCTTTGAACCTTATTGATCATGTCACCAACATTCAGTGAAGAAAAATACCAGTTACTGACATCAGTTGCAATTACATAGTTTGCAGTGATACAAAGGACATCGTTTTTGCAGTTACGAAGACTCATCTGATAATACCGTTCTTGTCTGTGTGTACACGTAACATGAGGTGCTGGGTTTGAAAACTGAACTTAGTGTGTTGGAACTAAAGTTTAGAGGTTTTCCACTAAAACGTGTATATTTCATATCTGACACCAAAATTACAGTGGTGCATATTTCTCATGAATCCTCAGTTAACAGCTTTGCCTGCATCCTTCATCCTTACAATAAAGCTTTCTAGCTTGAGTTCCACTGAGTAGTGTAATTTCAAATGAGCTTTAAAACAGCCTTTTAGGGAAATCACACAACTAATTTCAGTATTCATTTATTAGAACCCTGAAAGTCATGTTTTAGGAAAGATTAAGAGGGGGACTTTTTTAGCACAACTTTTGGTGATATAGAAGCAACATGCTGCAGTCAAGAAAGCCGGCCTTGCAACGTTAAGAGAAAAGACTGTGCATGTGAAGGACAAGGCAGCAGACATATGAAAGTAAATACCACATCATCCATGGAATGCTGGAATGCTTTCTATATATCTGTGCCTGACTGAGTGCACCATCCCTGTCTTTCAGAAATACCGGCAGTATATGTCTGGACTTCTCACTCCTCCTTATGGTGTTATGGAAACTGGCTCCAACAATGACAGTGAGTATGCGAAATAGACATCAGATACTAGAAAAAAGAGGAGGAGAAAGAGGAAGATCGAATTCCTCTGAGTTTGAGTGTTGGAATTGGAACCTTGAATTCGATCTAGTATTAGGACTGTATTAATCTTGCATTTAGTAGGAACTCACCTAACTGCATTCCCAACGGTGTGCAAGTGTACACGGAGCTGTACACAAGTTGCATTAAAAGCCAGACCTGTTGACTAAAGCCCACTGTATGACGTCACATCACATTTAACTTGTTAGAGGCGTTACATGATGTCCACAGAACATTGTTGTGAGTCCCACTAGTAAAATAAATATAACAAGCTGGCTTATTTTTGTAGTTGGGATGGACCACACAACTAGCTTGGGAGCCTAAGTTAGTGCTGAGGCAGACAGGCTACAGTGCACGTGCTGCTGTCTGACCTTAGTTCCAGAGCTAAATAAGTTTGGATATGCCTCTGCCTCATGAGAAACTGTCGAACCATGGGCTGGTGCTTTAGGCCTGAGTCCAAGGGCAGCCTTGGGAACTCATCACTTCTGTAAATCAAGGTACTTTCATTTAGTTGCCAGAGGATTATTTAGATGCCACCCAGGACATGATGGCTAACAACTGCATCTGCAAATCCTGCCCTGTATGTTACGTGTTCAGTATATTCTGCTTGTGAAACAGTAGCACAGCACAGCTATGCCAGTTAGTGCAAACTCAATGTCACATTTGCCTTCCAGGTACTATAAACATAGATAAGGTTAAATGAAAAAAATAGAAATAATTCTGGTATACATACTTCAAATATTAAGTTGTGAGCAAGAACTATGTTTAGCAAACTGGTTATAGTATTTATACAACTTACCTTTTTGACTTTTTTGTGTTCACAAGAGAAAGCTTGTGTCTGAACAAATTTGATTTGCTCTTAAAAAGTCATTGATTAAACATGTATTTTATCAAAGTAGCAGGTGCTCCAATTCCCTATTCTGTTGATAAATATTTCCTCTGTTACTTAAAGAATGTACAATATGTATTTATTTTCTGTGTTCTTTTTTTTAGGAATGCCAGATAAGGACAGTATGTCAAGCAGCGCTCTTTGCCAAGTTTCCAAAAATTGTAATAAGGTAAATGACACTTGTTTTGCTTTTGTGTTTTAACTGGAGGGGTGGAGGGAGAAATTTGCTGATGAAAAATGCATAAATAGAACATTAAGTGGGGGGCCAGTTAGCTCAGTCAGTTAGAGCGTGGTGCTGATAACACCAAGGTTGCGAGGTCGATCCCTGTTTGGTCCCCATGTGTTGCCTGATCTAGCTGAGAGGCGTCCCTGCCCATGACAGGGAGGTTGGATTAAATGATCTCTAAGGTCCCTTCCAGACTAGGCCATTCTATCTATGAAATTGAAAAGAACCAGGTGCAGATGCAAAGCATGTGTTTGATGCATGTGAGTACAGTATAGAAATTGCAAGGATGCTTTGGTCATTACATCATACAACTAGAGAAAGCAACTGGTTCAAGATCAGCATCATTAGTTCTGTTTCTGACGTTTTAGTTGCAATCTGGCTGTCCTCTCTTTGTCAGAAAGGTGCTAAAGGTAAAGAAGAAAAGCAAGACATGTGCGTAGCCAATGATCATACAATTCTTAATTAAATCGTATTTTAAGGCTTAGCTGAGTCCTAACTGATGCATAGGCATTGCTCTGGCCCTTTGCTCAGGGTGAATTTTCTCCTGTGTTCAGAGAGCACCTTTACGTCCCAGTTCTCCTTTGTAAAATAGTTCTGTGCCTTCTGTCTCACCACATGAGGACCCACATGAAAGAACTCATGCATATTTCTGTGCTGGATTTAAAGTAATTGTAATAGTGGGAAGAAATAGTATCAGGCGTTGCTGTAAAGATTAATAACTTCTAGGGGTTTTTTTATGGCAGAGTAAAAAAGTTACAGTAATAGATGCTTGGATGCCTTCTTTCTGGACAAAGGAGTTTGACTGGATTCGTTTGTGTGATGTCTTCAAAAGGTTAAACGTATTTTTGTTACACAAAAAAAATCTCTTGACAGCAGATAAGGACAATGAATATTTTAGTGTGTTTCCTTAATGCGAAAATAACTACTTCCACTCTCCCTGTCTGTCTGTCCTGCTTCCTCAAGGACACTGACCTTTCTTAATTTTTACATTCATTCTTTATTAAATGTATAAAAGAAAAGGTATGCAGTTACTTTTTCGAGAGTCTTATTGACTAATGCTGTATCACTTCCTGACACAGCCTTGTCCTGTAGGAAAATAAACATTCTTTCATGCACTGAGTAATAATTATTAGATACTTAGCTAGGACCTTTCATTCTGTAAATAGTTTGGAAGCAGTTAGGAGTTAACTCTCGGTGCTTCTCTAAGATGTTGGCATTTCAGTGCTACACTTGGAGTTAAGCTGGATCAGGAGTCTTTCTTGACTTGTCAGTGAAATCACCAGGTGCAGAATCCAAACTGAAAGATGTATTTTCTGAAGCAGGTAGAGGTAACAACGTAATAACATCCACCTTTCCTAGAAGGTGATATCCCCCCAGTAAAGGGCAGTGATGCTCAGCTAAGGGTGATGTACACTTTGAGATACAAAGTATTTTAGAAACAGAGCAAAATTCTGGCTGAATACTCAGTGGCTGGGTTTTTCTAGCACAACAGGACTCTTCCCCCACAAAGTAACGTTGACCAGGGCAGGACACAGAACTTGACAGGCTCAAACTGTCCGATGGCTTTTACAGGAGTAAGGTCCTTGGCAAACCCTATGAGCTTCCTTTCCAAGACACATGTATAAAACAGCTGTCCCTCTCCCACCCACACGGTACACATTTCTGTGGAGAGACGCTCAGAGAGTAAATATGTGACAGATGCTCATCACCTTGTTTCATCCTGGAGACAGTCCCGTGACAAATGCAGCGGAAGAACCTACGTGAATCCTAGTTCTGTGCTTTTGCCACATGGCTGTGATTCTCTTTAATGATGTTAAGAGAAAGGTAGATGCAGCCGAGATAAATACCTGAGTGTTTTGTTTACTGCACACAAGCTTCATTCCCACAATTTTAAAACGTTCAACTGCTACAGTGCTTACAGAGCATGCCTGTCGCCATGCCCGGCAGTCAATTTTGAATGATCAGGGAGATGCTGGGATTGCAGGGCCAGATTCCCAGAATTGTTGCCAGCTATTTGAAATACAGTATGACAGGGTGCCGGAAAACAGCCCGATGTTTGTAGATTTTATATATTTTCCTTATTTTAGGGTGATACGTGACTGTCAGAATGGCTAATGCATCAGGGAAGGGCATGCGTCCAGGAAAAGGGACATCTTCAGACTCCTTCATAGCTTTAGATTGCCAAAATGATGCCTGTGGGATTGGCAGCAACTACAGCTCAGAGAGGCCAGCAAGCTACTCTGTAATGCCCAGAAAAAGGCCAAGTGAGGGACTTTCTGAGGTTCAGAAAATGCTCCTCAAAATCATGTGGGAAAAAAACATTACACTCTTAGGCAAAAGGAGATGACATCTTAAGTAGCTCAAATTATAATGATGCCTTTATTTCAAGGTGTGTTGGATTGTTGTTTGAATTTTCCGGGGCGGTTTATAACTATGAATAATTTAATTCAAATGAAATTTAGTATATTTCATTCTTGAGATATAAAATACATATTTTTCTCTGAGTCTTTTACAAGCAGTATAATGGATGATTTTCCATGTTTGCTAATTATTTGAGTTTCATTTTCATAGCTTAATTTTCTTCTCCTGTCACATCTATTTGATTTTGCTGAGTAACATAAGATTTTTCTTTTAATATGTGCTTTGAGATTTTCTCACCATATGGGGCTGTTTGGTTATCCTAGTTCATTAAAATCTATTAAAAAAATCTATTTGGAGAAGGCAGCAAAGAGATTTTTTTTGCCAAACACGAATTCATTTGCATTTAGGGTTACATTATTGCACATCATTTAATGCAATATAGCAGTTAAATTGCGCATAAAATACTGAGACAGAGTATGCTACTGTCCTCAGTTCTATTTTGGGGAATGGAACAAAGTCAATTTAAAGCTGTCTTACATGAGGGAAAATAATAGAGCTTTGGTCTTTTTAACAAGTCAGCCTAATATCTGTGCAGTGGTCTCTCTACCTATAGTTTTCAAAAATTCCCATGGGGTACAGTTGGATATAGCTGGATCTGTGAGATGAATATAATGCTAAAGCCAAAATGACAAAATCAATAATAATTTCAAATACAGATTTGGAAAAGATACAAAAGGGTACTTAGAACACAGGGGAGGTCGGGTTCCAGCGTGCAGGCAGAATAGGTAGTGATTCTGTTTCCATATATTACCAGCATAGCTGGCAGCAGGGTTGCATGGTGCTTCCCACGACAAAATCCTTTTCTTACAATTTGGCCACTTTTTCACTGTTTACACTGAATTTGGCATGCTGAGAGTATGTTTCTGGCTGATTTTTAAACTGAAGTGGATCAAACCTCTCTGACATTGCGTTTGAGGGAAAATACGTAGCACGTGTTCAATAGCTTTTCCCAGTGACACACTACGAGGCCCGTCCCTTAGACTAGAAGCGTGACATTTGGGGCTTGTTCTGGCAGTAAGGGGTGCCACTTGCAACCTCCTAAAACCCTATTGTTAAGCCTTGAAAAACTTCCGCTGGAACTTGCTCATTAGAGGCTCGTTAGGGTTTAAGTACAAGCTCGTGCACACAGGCTGTGTGTGCTGCATGTGCAGAATTCCCACACTGCTCGTCTTTGGTCCTGGTCTGCTTGGATATTCCTGTGTCAGTGCTTAACTGTGTGGGGGTTTTCTCACCATCACTCATTCTAGTTGACAGAGCAACATTTTGGTTATTGAAAAAACAGACCACTGTTGTCTCTGCTGTGCTTTTACAACCTCAGCTGGAGCTGAAGTAGGAAATGAGTAAAGAAATAGCCCATTCTTCTCTAGAGACATGAGATGTAGGATAGTTTTAAAGAAGAGGGCATTGCAGAAACAAGTTATGGAGGCACAGGAATGAATGTGGGCCAGAACAGAGGACAGACCCATCGAGAGCATGAATCTCCACTCCCCTATGGAGCATGGTGCTGAATGCTTTTTTTCTGCTATCAGTAGATGTCTTAGACTCCTTTGCAAACCGAGGATGCTATGCCTAGGAAAGCATAGGAATCATCCACAGAAAGAATAGAAATCTGTGATTAATAACAATTATTCTATTTATTCGAGTAGTTTGTAGTCAAAAAGTCCTAACCCTAGTAATGATCCAAGCTGAAGTCTTATGTTGTTTTCCATAATGTAATCTCCATACTGAAGTTCACTAAAAGAAACCCCACATCCTCAAGAAGCCACACAAAAGAAATCTGCTTGAAAAGAAGGCTGAAAAGCTAAGTGCTCAGAAGCAGAGAATTTGAAGAATGAAGGCTGACAGAGCAGTGTTAATGAAGTCCTCTTATCTGTGGTTGTTACGATACAGACTTCAATTATTCATGTTTATTATGGTACAGACTTTGATTACCTGCTTACGTATATTTTTCCTGTGACACACTCAATCAGAACAACATCTCACCTCAAAATACATTCCAGTTTTATTTTTGTACAACTTAATCGCTGTGATTGTTTAAAACCTAGATAATTTTGTACCTTCCTCATTGAATCCAGGAAGGGGAAAAGTGCTTCTACATCTCTTTGCACTGAGAAAACCCTACTGAACACAGAAGATATAAGCAGCTTAAATCGTGCAAATTCATACACTCGTTCTTGCTATTGGGTGAAGAAGGTGTATCTTTTCTGAAATCCCTCTCATCCTTTATTTTCATTGTCTTCCCTGTATTGTCTTTATGTTGTGGTAAAGAGTTGCAGGAACTCCCCCTAGTGCACAAAATAATAATGGGAAAACGCAGGGATAGAGTTTGTGAAGTATGCAGGCTGGAACATCCCCTTTATGTTTTTCATGTAATGACTCCAAATTCCCTAGACTGGAAGCTTATTGGGAGTGATATATTTGAAGGTATTTGTACAGCAGAGTTCGTATAGAATGTTCTGAAACAGTTCTCTGAAAGTCACCTTCTCATCCATCTTCTTCCTTGGTTTCTTTACTGAATTTTC